CGAGGGCCTGGTCCTGAACCATCCTTTTTCACCACTGTGGTTTATAACCACAAAATCAAGGTTACCCCAGACCTGCTTGCCTCTGTTCTGTCGCTGCCTCACACTGGTCTTCGGGCTGGGTTTGATGGGGAGTTTCACGAACTTGGGTTCGACTTCATGACCTCCTTGTCTCTTCTCACTGAAGATACAGGACGGTATTTCCCAAATCATCTCGATGCTGGTCGTCTACCTGATGATCTGAAAGTATTTCACTGGTTCCTTACTCGCTGCTGGTTACCTCGAGATCTGAGGAGCTCAGCCCTGCTGCACCCCACTGATCTTTGGATCATGTCTCACGCTCGTGCTCGTCAGCCACTCAGCTTTGCCACCTTGGTCTTCTGTCACATGCTTAGGTTTGGCGATGGAGGCTATAGTGGGAATCTGCCTTTTGGTCCTCTGATCACGCGTCTGCTGTACAGGCTGCAGTTTGATCTGCGTGACAAGGTCACCATCTGCAACATCCATGAGGATCTTCGTCCGAACCACATTCTCAACCGTCTAGATGCTGACGTTGGTCGTCGGAAGCTCGTCACTGGCTCAGGGGGAGGAGCTGGTAAGTCTCGAGCTGGTGAGTTTCCTGCTCCGCCTGGAGACTCTCTCGCCCTGGTGCCTGCACTACTTAAGGCAGCTGTTTCAGCCATCAATACTGAAGTAGTTAGGATCAAAGAGGCTGAATCAAGTCAGGATGGTCTAACCAGAGCATCGCTCGGGTTAATGTTGTGCAAAGAGCGACTGGAGCTCATGCAGTCTCCACAAGGGGAGTCAGACGATGAGGCAGTACCTGCTCCTGAAGATTTTGATCCCATGTCCTCTGATTCTGAAACTGACGACGATATCTCAGACTACGATTCACCTCCCAGTTATCCCTTCTAGATCTTGATAGGAGGTGTTCTCAGGGGGAGTTGTCTTGGTTGATTAGATTTGTAGTGTTTGGTTGTTGCTTGAATGTTCTTCCTTTTTGCTTATGTCAAGTGTCAGTTGAATGTTATGTTTTATGAAATAAAATAAAAATGCTTCTTTCGAGTGTTTCATTTATTTCATGAGAACAGACTGCACCAAACGTTTGCTGAGTGTGTGCAGGAAGACTACACAGCGATGGGAGCCATTGACTAGCTTAGGGGGAGTATGTTGTGAGAAGCTTGTCAATGCTCGGTCATGAAAATTGTAAATTCATATGCGAAGAAGGAAAGTTTTGAGCAACGGTTGAAATCATCCTGACTAGGAAAGTGTGTGAAAATCAAGAAAGGAAGATCGGATCATTCAAGAGGAGATCACGGGGCAACGGTCGTCAGACTTAGACTATTTAGCTAATTGTAACTTCATGGACAGAGCACTTTTCCAGACTCTGTCGTTGCAAGCACTAAAAGAAAGTACTTGGTGTTGAGAGATAGAGTGAGAAGGGAAGAGTCAGTAGCAGTTGGGGAAATTGCTTGGTAGAATAGCGGGTGTTCTTGATTAGGGTTTGCGGGGAGTGAACTATTTCTGAGTCTGATCGGTGACGGAGTGTTGCCAGGAGATTGACTGTAAAGGGTTCGGCTATCGTGATTATAGTGGAACGTCGAAGATCTCGATTGAGATACTTCGACCGTGGATTAGTCGGTACTGAATCAAACAGTACCGGATACCACGTAAAAATTGTGTTCTTGCAGTGTACATTTGATCTAGCTTAAAGTTGCTTGGTGTAGTTGGTTACCCTGTTTTGCAGACATCTCGGACGAACAGAGGAAGGCAGTCGAAGTACAGGGTTGAATCCAGAATTGGTCTGATTGAAGGAGCAAGGAGCGGGCTTGGAATCGGACAGCGGGCCTGACCCGGGCTAAAGCCCATTTCTCAGTTTACTTTATTTCAGGCCCATTCAATTCAGTAATTGTTTCTTTTGATTTTTGCCACTGACGTTTTGCAATCGACTTCAACCTTTCCCAAATTGATTTTCGCAGAACCAAATTAGGGTTTCCTTCGAGAGAAGCAGGAGAGAATCTCGCGCTCGATCCACCAACAGTATCCCTGTTCAGAACGAACAAGTCTAATTCACTGAGAGCTCGAATGAGCTCTCAACTGAGATCTCATTATCCTTTTGATGATTCAGAATATAAGCTTAGCCATTTACACAACATCTATTGAACTTTTATATGACAAGGAAAAGGGCTACTAGGGTTTTAACCTATTGTATGAAAGAACGAAAGAGTCAATGTCTATTAAGAGACCTAGGACACAATACAGTTGACAGAGAGTGAAGTCACGGTCGGTGAATGGCAAGTCAGGACTAGCGACTAGGGTCGTGACACTCTGTACTGGACCATGACGTGGTGATACACTTATGAGTTATGTGGACGAATGATGAGTCACGGCTGATGGATGCCAAGTCACGACTCCGTCACATTCCGGACATGACCATGATGTGACAACGTGCATCTGTGGATGAATGACAAGTCACGGTTAGGGAAGGATGAGGTACGAATGTGACCCTCCAATTGGTAGACCGTGTGATGACCTGAGCTCGAACCGTGAGAAGTGAAAATTGTAATAGTTACTAGTTTGAGAAACGATTCAGTCTGCTTCATATCGAATTAAATCGTTTTGGTTCTCAAATTTTGAGAACTTTTGGGTTTTAATTTCATAAATTATCTTGCTAGTTCTCAAATTTTGAGAACTTTTGGGTTTTAATTTCATAAATTATCTTGTTGAATGAAAATAAGGTGAAATATTGTTTTGATTCTAATTTAGGTTCTTGTTTTTCCTTTATCTGTGATATAAATGTGCTTGGATTCGGCTCGGTTTTTGCAATTACGAGCCGAATCGGACATGCACATCCCTGGAAGCATTTGTAGGTGAAAATGGATCAAGAATATTTTATCTAAAAATAAATAGGTTTGGGTTGTGTTTTTGTGGTGTATGTTTTAATTTAGAGGTAAAATGTCTACAAAAAGAAAAGTCAGAAAACAAGATAAAATTCTCTCTAATTCAAGACTATCCAAGTAATTAAACCATATGACAAGAAATATTTTGTCAAATCCAAATATATTATTTAATCCAAAATTAACTAGGTTTGGGTTGTATTTTTATGGCGCATGTTTTAGGGGTAAAATACTAAAACGTCTACGTAAGGAAAAGAAAGAGAATGAAAAGAAAAGAAGTCTCTGTAAGTCAAAATAATTTAAGTAAAACATATGACAACAAATAACAACCCACTTAAATACGAATAATCAAACTAAATTCATTTCAATCATGAATTTTCTCATCACACCACAAAACCATATACAAAGAAGGATAATCTTGATGACACCACACCACATGTAGAGCCACACATAACAAAAGTGTAGCTAAACTAACAAGTACTCTAAACACCATAATCAACCCTTTTTCTCTATCTGTCCTCTCCCCTAGGGGTGGCTATACGGTCCGGTCCGGTTAAATTGGCCCAAATTGATCCGGTCCAGTCCGGTCTTTTTGAAGATATAAGGACCGAAGATTGGATTGGATACAGTCCGGTCTTGATCCGGTCCGGTTTTGATCCGGTCCGGTCCCAATTCGGTCTTGATTTTATATTGAGATTGTGGGATTTGAGTGGCCTAAGGCCTTAAAGGGTGAGGAGTTGGTTAAGTTTTGTACTAAGTGCAAAGGTTTGTGACCGTTTATGCAAATTACCCTTAAGTTTTGGGTGTTGAGCTCTCTTATCCGGTCTTTATCCGGTTTTTTACCTCAAATCTAAGCCCAAAGATTGGATTGGATTGTTTACTATCCGGTCCCGGTCCGGTCTCGATCCGGGTTATACGGTCCGGTTTCCGGTTTTTAATCCGGTCCCGGTCCAAATAGCCACCCCTACTCTCCCCTCCTACTCATCTTGATTCTTGGACTCTCAAGAGAACAAAAGAAAGAAACATGGGCAGTGGCATTTCCGAAATTTGCACCATCACCAAGCCTAAATCATATCCCCAACTACTATATCTACATGGAAGCAAGCCATCCCCTTTTGCCCCACAACTCTACCTCTCAAAAAAATCCCTCCCAACTTCCACCATCGTATCACAGAAACGTTGCTCTTTTTCCCCCATATCTTCACGAGAAACAAAAGAAGATGTCTCTAGTCACAGAAGAGATCAGGGCTAAAGCCACGGAGGTCTACAATGGCGACGAGATCTGCCAAGCCAAATCCAAGGAGCTCCTCAAGGAGATCCAGCTCCCCAATGGGCTGCTGCCACTTCACGACATCGTGGAATGTGGGATCAACAGGGAGACAGGGTTCGTCTGGCTGAAGCAGAAGAAGAGCATCACTCACAAGTTCGACAAAATTGGGAAGCTTGTGACCTATGCGCCAGAGGTGACTGCCGTGGTTGAAAAGGGGAAGATCAAGAAGCTTACAGGTGTTAAGACCAAGGAGCTTCTGCTTTGGGTTTCCCTCTGCGATATCTACGCCGATGAGCCGTCTACTGGGAGAGTTACGTTTAAGTCCCCAACTGGGCTGTACAGGACTTTCCCTACTGCTGTGTTCGAGGTTGAGGAACCGGCGGCTAAGGAGGAAACTGCTGCTGCTGCGGCTGCTCCAGCCTCTGTTGAAGTGAAGGAGGCTTAAAGTTCGTGTCTTTATTCAGTGGAGGATCTCCAAGAAAGAACTATTCCCGTGAGATGATCAAGAGAAGTGTTAACTGCTGCGTGAAGTGTGGGTTCTGTTTAGCAGCATGACAATTCCCAGTTTCGTGTTGTCGTTTTAGCTTCTTGCTGTTGTTTTCTCTGTACTCTACTTTGCTCCCATCACGTTGATAATAAAATTGGAACTGTTTGTGCGAAAAGTTTGTTTCTTTTTTGGGTTTCTGGCATCTGGACATGAGTGAAGTACAAGAAGATGCAATGAGAAAGGGTTACTGGACTGCGCAACGATTCAGTCTGCATCATATCGGATTAAATCGTTCGGATTACTCTGTTTCGGTACGGTTATGCAATTAGGCGAATTGGATAATGCACATCCCTGGAAGCATTTGTGGGTTGAAATGTATTAAGAACTCAGATTTGGATGAGAAGAGTTCACTGCAGCTGTTAACGAAACAGTTTTGGCTATCGACCAATTACATTCTCAATATAATACAATTGGAAGGCACATGCTGAAAGGGATCCAAACTTCAACACGAGGAAAAACAGATATTGTTTGTTTAACCAGAAAAGACCTAACACAGAGTGAGTGAATGTTGTACAGGGGAATGCAGACAAGAAATCCAATAGACTAATGGTTCATGACCGTTCAATCATCTTGCTGCTACAGCTCTCAAGGAACTGAATGGACCCCTTCAACAGTTGGCTTATGTAGTTATGTCCAGCAAAACTTGTTGGCCTTTGTCCCAGAAATCACTGCTTAAGAGCCTGAGGGAAAAAATGAAGCAGACATAAGTACTAACGAATTTGATTCCGAACTCATCCACCAAGTCAATGCGCGTTTCAAACGCAGAACAGTAAGCAAAAATGGTGATTTCTCAGATAAGAGTTCCTCTGAATGAGAGACTATGATGATCTCTCACATGAAAGACTGTATAAAATCATCTGTGTGAATAAGCAACAACTCGAAATGGATACGGAATCTCTTCTTTCTACAGCAATTTTAATTCTCTCAAAAGAAAGGACACATTTGTGAGAGGTCTCATGTATGCTACAATAATTCATTTCTGCTAATCACTCAACCAAACAAATACATCTACAAATCCTTCCATTTTAAGAATCCTTGATAAAGCCAGCCCCCGAGTTCTAGTTTAGACCGAACTCTAGGAGCATTCAACATCAACAGATCAATCTTTTTCACACATAATCCCTTAAAGAAACATCTGCAAACTATTAGTTCTCTGATACATTTTGAGATGTTCATTCACATTTCCACACATTCAATATGTGCAACAAATTAGCAACAAGTTGCAACATTAAGTAAAAACACAATCCATTGAGATACACCGAGTTCAGATCCGTTCAACAAACTAAACCATTTTCTGAAAAAGCTAGTAGTAAGTTAAGAGAACAAAATTTCTGACCTTTGAAGGGACAACCCATTTGCCGTACAACCAGTCCTGATGTGGCCTCAAATCGGCCTGCTTGAACGTTATCTTCTCATCAGTATCTTTGAAGTAAACCATGTACTTGCAGTTGATCAAAACCTTTGCAATCACACCAACCCACCAGCACTCGTTATAGTAAGCATCCACTTCATCCATCACCTTGAATCCATCCACAATAATGGTCTCCGGTGGACAAGGCCTTATGTGGCAAGTTCGGATTTCTTCTCTAAGAAACTCCGTATCATCGTCATTTGTCAGGGTTTTGTACTCAATGAGGAACTGGTCTTCACCCGAAGGTTCAATGATCGTTGCAGCAAACCAAGCGCCTTTGAAACCCTCATCATCAGTTGTCACCTCGACTTGCATTCCTTGAGTGAACTTCACCACTTCCTCGGGAAGATTTGGTTTTGCCTCCGGCTCAGACAATTTCTCCCCTTTTCCCACTTTCGTTGAGTTGGTCCCCTGTGATTTTGCATTGTTAACAGAAGAACTCTCACGTTTCACTAATTTGCTTGGCCTAGAGTCAGCTTTCTCTTGCGACCTCTGCATGTTTATGAAGAGATTAGGTTGAGATAGTGCGAACAAGAACAAATGCTACCTCTAATCATTCAATTCTCTACTTTCCACAACCAAGATTCAGAATCCATTAGAATTGTTAAAGCAAACCACAGAGCAGGAAAAAGCGATAAAATCCAATTAGTTCACCTCTTTCTCCCGCTGACGCTGCTCGAATGGCGGCTCCCACTTCCCTTCAACCCACTCCCTGCGCAACCTCAATTCTTTCCCTTCAAAGACAATCTGTTCTTTCGAACTTCTGAAAAACACAGCAAATTTCCCGTCGGCGTGCTCTGCGGTAATAGCCCCTTCCCACCATCCGTCGCTGTGGAAGGCCTCCACTTCGTCGCCGAACTTGAGCTGCACCTTCTTCTTCTCGGGAGGAGGCGGCGGGCGCAATTCTACCCAATCGACGGTTTCTTGCAACAGCTTCTCCCCAGATTCGTCCTCGTAGAGCTTGTCGTACTGGACTACGTAGCGATTAGGGTTCTTCACCTCGCGGCGGATGACGGTGCCGGCGAACCAGGATCCCCGGAACCCGGGCTCGTCGGAGCTGATCTCGACCCGGTCGCCGGGATTGAAATGGGGGAGCCACGAAGAAGAGGATGTCTTCGACTTCGACATTTACAGGTGGAGAAACCGAGTGGAAGCTTAGGGAGTCTGAGACTTTTGGCGGGAGATGAAGCTCGGAGCAAAGGGAAAGTGGAGGGAGACTCAAATGAAAGAATCTGCTCCGCTCATGGGAAAGCCGAAAGGTTCGGGTTTCTTAGGTAAATAAGGCCCAAAGGGAAGGGCATTTTCGGGATGTAAAACAATTAGATTTGCTCGCCGAAGCTGAAATTCGCTTTCAGGTTAGTTCCTTGTTTGGGAAGAAAAAGTGAAAAGCCTCACAATATAAAACCCTGATAAGCAGGTTCGCCGCCGGCGCTTACTCCACCATCTCAGATCAATGTTGAGGAGAAACTTCCCCGTAACTGTAAGGCGCCTCCTCCTCCATTCGACGCATCGTAATGTCGCCAACGTCTATCCAATTGCGCCATCGCCTAATAATAAATCGGCGGCTGCTGCTTCTTCCGCCGGTCGTCCCTTAGTGATCAGGCTCTACTCCTCCTCCGTGTCCTCCGGCGATCTGGAAACCAGGAAAGGTAAAAACGAAGACTGATTAATTACTATACTTAATTAGTTGCAGAGATTGATGGATTGAATGTTATAATAGCTTGGCGTTCAAAGTCGAAGGAATTGGCGGAACAGTACATCTTGGAGCTGGATAAAGACGAGCTGAACGAATTGATGGATAAGTACTTGAAATTCCAAGAGGAAGACGACGGCGTGCTTCTTCTGAAGACGATGAAGAATAAGAAGAGCCTAGATTCATGGAAGCTGCATTATGATGATGAATCGGGGACGACGAAAGAAGAGAAAACAATTAATTAAGTTACTCTGTTTCCTCTGCTTTGGTTTTCTGTTTTTTGAGTATTAACATTGTGGGGTTGGATTTTCCCCCCTTAGATTGGTTCACTCCACAGTGGAAGCTGGAAATGAAGGAGAAGTTGTTGAAACTGGAAGAGAAAATGGGATTGCATCAATTCATCAGCAAACAGATTGAGGAGGCAAGGTTGTTAGGGAATTCGTATTGCACTCTGGCGTATGTGACCAATAAGTTGCTCGAACCTGAGCTTAGAATCGGGTGCAGAATAAACAACTACTTGCGAATCGAAATCGTCTTGGATCATCATCTTCTTTCAGGTGCCTTGTCCATCAATCTATCTATTATGGATCAAGAATTCGTTTTCTGATTTCTCATTCATTGATCTTTGAGTTTCGTGTGCGCATATAATTCATTTTGCAGATGATTTGAAAAAGAAGTTGAAGACAATGCAGGATGATTTTAACAAGCAGTCGGAGAAAGGAAGTTGGTTCGCTTCAATGGACGGTATGAGAATGAGAATGAAGAATGCATTAGAGAAAGATAGAATGTTGTTGCGTACATTCAGTTATCAGTTCGATCTAGAGGAAGTTCTTTTACTGCTTGATCAGACATTGAATTGAGGATACACTATGTAGAATATACAGATATGAAAGGTGTATTTTAGTAGTAATGTAAAAGAGTGAATGATTGAGGAGAAACTATATGCTACACATTTTCCTTTAAGTAACATACTCTTCCTTCCCTCCACAAAACGAGCTTCATAATCAATGGTGCTCAAGTGGTTAACAGATAAACAAAAAAATGTCAGAAGAACAGGGGGGAACCCCATCAACTTCTGCTAAATGGGAAGACGGGGAACATGCTCCCATGCCTTGCCTTATACGGTAGTTAGCATTCCCAGTTTCTGCTGCTGCTACTCTACTAATGTAGGAGAGGATTACAACTATGGAGGTCCAAAATTTGATCCTCCCTTTTCAATGGTCATGACAGACCCTTTAGGTAAATTCTGTATGCTGTACAGTAATGAATGGATGTGTATTATGGATATTGGCAGGCTACACAAGAATCTGAGACTTGGCAGCGACACGAGAGCATTTCTTCCGACCGGTCTTGCTCAGTGCACAAACGCACATCTCCAGGAGCTCATAGTCTTCCTCCCAGAACAACAATGAAGCCTTCTCTGGATTTTCGAGCAGTACTTTGGAGGTTAAGAACCCTGCAATGGTCCACGTCTGGTAGAGTCGAGCTTGCTTCCCTATGAACTTGCCAGTTCGGGTGTCATAATACTCGGGCCAACGGTCAGCACCTAGCTTTGATTCGGCCATGCTGACTGCCTTCCTTGCTAGATCGATTCTGCCCATCTTGATGCATGCCAAGGTGAACTACAAAATGGGGTTTATTGTCTAAACATCATTACAAACTCAAGGAGCTTTATGAAAGGAAATCGAGATGATGATTTGATCTCTCACCTGCCACAGAAGGGTTGGCCATGAGCCACCATTGTGATATGACCAAGCTCTGCAAGTTTTCAAGAAAAAGAGAGGAATCTCATTATGGGTGGATCCAATTACAAGCTGATACGACAGTGGGATCGAAGAGAAACTCACGTGTTTTTTGGGTCACTTCCAGTAATTATACGCCATTCCTCATTCTCCAACGCAGGGTAGCATATCTTGAGAGGCATGTGTCCCACAATATCATTCCATTTTCCCTCTATCAGATTCAGTATAGCTTCGTTCTGTTTCGGGGTACTCAGTGATGATATCACAGACCAGAGATTCCCAAGAGTGAAGAACCTGAAGTCCATGTGAGCCGGCTGCAGATTCCCAATTAGATACCCACCTTCCTCAGGTATCCAATCCATGAGCCATAGAGGGATTTGCTCAGGATAGATATTGAACTTGTTTGTGGCATCCAAGGAATACTCTTCTGTCTTATACCTGTATATCTCGTTCATCTTCTTCATGTCCACCCAGTAATATTCCCTAATGTGGAAGGATAGAGCACTAAGCCGATTGTTTATAGCCCTCACAAGATTCTTTGAGCCATCAGTTACCGTAAGCATCTCACGACCACAACGTAGAGATGAGTAAAACAAGGCCTAATAACACCAGAAGTCAAACATGATGTGAGAAATCGTGACCTGAATATTATCATTATGCATGCACTTAACGATCTAAACCACTTATGAACTCACTTGGATCTCGAGAGGATGGCCATGAATACCCATGCGTCGATCGATCATGCAGGAACCATCAGTGACTAACAGAGAAGGAAACATATCGAATCCATCAGCCAAGCACAAGTTCAAGACCAACTTAATGCCGGTTTGCACATCGACCCTTTCTTGCAATGTATAGTCACCAGTGATTTTCCCATAGGCCCTCAGCAAAATAATCCACCACAATCCTGCCATAAAGATACCATCAATGAACTCTCAGATACAGCAAAGTTCAAAGAAACACAAGGATCACAACCCAAAATCCTGAATTCCTAGGACCAACCATACTAACCAGAGTCCACAGGGCAACTCGGCCAATGGCCGATTCTCCGAAATCTGGATCCAAAACTTCTTCAGTCTTGTCACCATCAAGAGACACAGTTCTGACCTTGAAGCTAGCAGGCATTAACCCTTGGCCTGGACTATAGCAATCTACTGTTTTCTCCCAGCTCTAAAAACAAATGAATTGAGAGTCCCTTAAAGCTATCAGCAAACAATTTGAGCGATTCACATACATGAACAAACACCATGATCAAATTTCAAACCTGCAACTGCAAGGTGTGGAGCAGGAAGTTTCTGACAATCTCTCCTTCGCCCCTGAGCAAGAAGGCAAGCGCAGAAGGCACGAAGTCACGAATGAAAACCTGGTCATAGTTCAATGGCGTCTTGTCCCCAGGATCATTCGCAGCAACGGTTCCAACGGGGCTCCCGCAGTACCTCACAACGGCGTCGTTTAGCAACTTCCACGCTTCCTTCTCGATATCACTCTCTTCCCTCCTAGGGCTGACGATCTCGACCCCTTCCGGGTTCCTCAAATTCAAATCTCCTTCCTCGGCTGAACCATCCTCCACGCTCACGACCTCACGGATGTTCTCGTCCTTATCGATCCTCTCCACGACCAACGGCTTGGCCTCGGCGGCGATTCCATTCTGGACGTAAATCCTCTCGAAATTGTTCTCGTTCACCCGCGTCTCCACGGAAGTAGAATGCTGCTGCCGCACCACCGCCCTCGAGGCGACGCAAAAGGAACCCCTGTTCGCGAAAGCTATCGACGGCGATGCGAACCCGGGACGGAATACGGTGGACATGAGCCTGTAGGGGATGAAACGAGCCGCCGGCGGCGGCGGCGGAGGAATGATGCTTGTGGCAGGGCCAGGGCGGCAAGTGTTGGCGAGAGAGCTGTGGGTTCGATTGGATCTAAGGGGGTGTTTGGCGGAACCCAGAAAGGATTTGGAGGTCCGGGAGATGAGGAATCGAGCAGAGGGTTTCATGGTGGAAGAGCAAATGAAGCACAAGATGTTCTTCATGACATCTGGGAACCGCCAAAAAATTTGGGGAGGGAAGCTCTTTCCCTGGGAACGATCTGCTATGCGAGGAGGAAGATAGATGATGAGAGGGGATTCGGGTCGGAAGGGGATGGATGGGTTATTGTGTAAACTTTTTCTCTCTTCTGCAAATTATGAAGAAGAGGGAAGATTGAGAAGAACGGGAGATGGAGAGGAGGTCCGTCAGCGAGGGAATGGAGGAGATGAAGAGGGAAGGACGGAGGGAAGAAAGAAAGAAAAGAAATTTTGACGAAAAGAAATTTTGCTTTTTAATTAGAGATTTTTGGCGTATTTCCCCTACTTTCCTCTTTTTCCCCTTGGGGAGTACTCCAATTTTCAATGTCCTGAATTAGAAATTTAGAACTTCAATGATGAGTGAAGTTAATTAATGGATCGGGATTTTAATATAATTGGATTATTTCATAATTTAAGCAATCAATATAAATTAATGAAGCCAAACTAAATTACATTAGGGTGCTCAGAGATATATTAAGGCTAATATAGAAATTAGAAGATTGGTTTTTTTTTGCAGTCAGAATCTCATGAAAACGCAACACTTGGCCTTGTTTGATGGCGCTAGTTAATCTACTTTGCTTAAGCATTTCTCTGGTTATTGTGTTGCATTGTACACTTGTTGGAAAATGGGGGCTTTCTTGTCCTAATTGAGCACGATGTCTACTTAATAATTACAAGGGCGAGTCTATTTAAAAGGGAAACATGCTAATATTTTAAATTCCATTCTTCAAATTCGGATAATTCGTGTTCATCAAATATTGCACTGCAACTCTCCAAGTTAGAATTGCCCTAATTGGATAAATCGACATGGGACCATTCATCCATCTTAATCCGGTGATTTGGCAAGAGAATTAGGAGAGAGTAATGAGGACGTGGCGTAAGTTGATCCATAATCACAAAGAGCACAATAAAAAGACCCAGCCCAGCCCACCAAGTTGGTCTGATCTGATCCAATAATTAATTGCCCATAACAGGCGGCAACTTGATTTTCTGCGGTTGCTCGTGCCATCATCTTGACTGTCAGTGTCCACTATATCTTGTGACGGTGGCCTGCATGGACTACACAAAAAAGTGCACCAAGGCGTTCAACTTTTTTTTTTTAATACTTTGTTATGGCCTGAACTATGACCATGTAATCAACTTTGGCCAATGGTTTGAGAAATTAACATCCTGGCCCGATCTATGCAGCATATTGACAAAATTGGCCTGGAGCGTGGTTTGACCGTTTGTTTGGACGGTCAACACCGTTGACCGTTAGTCAACTGTCCAGGTCACTGCCATGTCAACATAAAAAAATTACAATTTCATTTTTCTTTTTATTTCATTTACAAAAATTGAATAATTAAAAAAAAAAACAAAATCCAAAAATTTTGGCCCACCCATCCCCACCTTATCCCCTCACCTTCTTTCCTTTTCGATCAACCCCAACCCTATTCCATCTTCTTCCTCCTTCTTCCCCGACGAGCCGCCGCCTCCATTCCCTCCGACGAAACGTTAAAGCAGAAGCAACTCGGGCCAACCATTTCTAGTACCTTTTCCGATAGTCTTCAGTCCTTTCTACGACCTCTACCCTCTACTGATCGCAGCAACACAAGGACTGGAAATAAATAACCATCAGATGAAGCTAATTCCAAATCTCCCTTGCAACAAACGTACACGATAATGACATATTACAGAATCGATGTCCAGACTCTTCCTCAGTTCAAGAATATGTCAATAAAAAAGAAAAACTCTCGTTCTACCCTTTTCCTTTACTTCCTACCACTGCTTCATCAGAAGCACAGAAGAAGAAAAAAACCCAGGAATCCCCGCAGAGACTCCCCCATGTCTTATTTCAAACCAAAAGTGTCGCCAACCAAGGAGGAACTTTTGATGTCTCTCTGCTGACGATCGAGGAAGGGATCTTCGAAGTGAAGGCCACCGCCAGAGACACGCATCTCGGAGGTGAGGACTTCGACAATCGGCTGGTGAATCACTTCGTTGCGGAGTTCAAGCGGAAGAACAAGAAGGATATCAGCAGCCACGCCAGAGCTCTGAGGCGGCTGCGAACTGCCTGCGAGAGGGCGAAGAGGACTCTGTCTTCCACCTCTCAGACCACCATCGAAATTGACTCCCTCTACGAAGGTATCGACTTCTACTCCACCATTACTAGAGCTAGGTTTGAAGAATTGAACAAGGAGGCGGTGGGTCGTCGGGAAAGAAGGAGGAAGAAGATGGAATAGGGTTGGGTTTAATTGAAAAGGAAAGAAGGTGGGGATGGGTGTGCCAAAATTTTTGGATTTTGTTTTTTTTTTAATTATTCAATTTTTGTAAATGAAATAAAAAGAAAAATGAAATTGTAATTTTTTTATGTTGACATGGCAGTGACCTGGACAGTTGACTAACGGTCAACGGTGTTGACCGTCCAAACAAACGGTCAAACCACGCTCCAGGCCAATTTTGTCAATATGCTGCATAGATCGGGCCAGGATGTTAATTTCTCAAACCACTGGCCAAAGTTGATTACATGGTCATAGTTCAGGCCATAACAAGGTATTAACCCTTTTTTTTTATCCACTTGCTCTCAAGGTTGTCAAACCCGATTACTCCATAGTACGAGTTTATCAATCAGTATGGTTCGATCGGTGATTGATAAGATCAACTAATCTGATACAAGGGATAGTAGGATGGGGGCTTTGCTGCAGCGGCGGATCCAGGACACAGCGTAGCACTGGGCCGCATTTCATTAGAAAATTAGATATCGTAAAAAAATTACAGTTTTTTTTTACAATATCAATTGTACACGTCAATCTTTTAAATTTTAATATAGTGAATTCATCAATAATAGAGTTTACATCCACATCAATAGCATACTCTCTTTAAGATAAAATAGTTAACCAATTGGAGAGAAATTCATCGTTCATTTTGTTGCGCAAATGTCAACACAATCGACTAATCAATTCCTATTTTCAACAGCTGCTCAAGTAATTTCTCAAGAGAATAAACCTCACATTTCTTTTAGTCTTTTACGTTTTAAAATTGGAGGTTTCATTGTTTGCTTTTCTTTATATGAGAATTATTGGAGCTAGAATTTTCAGGCTAAATTTAGAGCTGTGATTTGAATATGTTCATCTTACCCATTTTCCTAATTACACACAATTTTATTATAAAATAACACTGGGCCAAATGGTTAAATCGATAAACTCATAAGAGCTATACTAGTTCCGGATCCAGGGGAGGGCTGGGCCGGGGCCCGGGGTGGCCACCCCCTGGATCTGCCACTGCTTTGCTGCAAAAGGTGGTGTCTTATTTCAATCTCCATCAGGGATTTAGTGTTCGATTTGTTGGCCGTATTAACAATAGGGTAGCTCATGTGGTGGCTAGAAAGGCCCTAGCATTGTACCCGGCTTCATGTCGCTCTTTTGATTTCATGGTCTGGCTGAACTCCAGGATGTAACTATCTTCTATTGATTTATATATGATTATCTATTGTCACAAAAAAAATGGTTCGATCGGTGATACAATTAATTTGTATTTATTTATATTTAAACAAATAAAAGAATGTACTTAAAGAAAATTAATGACAATTTATATTAAAATTTAAATAAAATACAAGATTTCAAATAAAATAACAAATACTCATAGTTAAATACAACATTTAACATAACCAACCAAACTCTTATATTTAAAGCCAACAAATAACGTCAGCTTTTAAATTTTAATTTCATGAAATATATCGTTAATTAATTTTGTTAATTAATTAAATTCACTAAAACGATGTCATTTTGTTTACATATTGAAAATTGATAACACCAGTAGTATTCACGCACGCCGGTCTCATGACAGTCACCGGTTGAACCAGGTTTAACTGAATGAAATTCCACCATGCTCTCAACAAATTCAAAAGCTTGAAGGCGTGATTAGATCACTCTCATTAGAGTGTTATTTGCCCCACAACGAATTACTGGTAGGAATTAGGCAAATCACCCCCAGCAGTCCCTGCAATCAAAGTCCGAAAGCAGCAATCTTTCTGACTTATGTTTTTGTGTTTGTGTGTTTGAAAAGGAAAACGGGAAGAAGAAGATGAACGTTGGAAAAGAAGTCTGGCTACAGAAGTCTTTTATTGTGAAAACGACAGCTCCCTTCCAAAGGGTTGTGTCGTTTCACAAAAATCAAACATCGATTAATTCATCAACAAGTAATTTATAAAATTAATTAGCCAAAAAATCAAGTTTGAACGCCTCGCGCAAAGTGCTAAGTGCATAGTGCGATTAAATATGCCAAATTAAATTGCACACACTTTACCCAAAACCCACTTATTACTTTATTCAATAAAATAAAGTAGGTAGTTAAGTTATAAACCACTTGGACTTTCCTTCTCCCACCAATGTGGTATTTTGCTTTTTGTTGACTACTCTAACAATCCCCCACATAGTCAACAATCTTTGAAAATACCTTATCGAATAAGTAACGCATAAAATAAATGTATCTTTTCTGTTTGAACTTTTACCTAGTGTAGGCAACTTAGAGTTGATAGCAAACCAGTGACGGGCTGAAGCCTAGGAGTCACGATCCAAAGCTAGAACCAGAGATGCCACACACTTACTTGTCTCTTCTCTAAAACACAACCACCAACAAGGGTAGCACTATTATAGCCATGTGCTAATCCTATTTCATGAGCATACACAAAAGTTGAATCTACTTTTGTTAGAGCGGCACCACTCTCAATGCTCACATATGTGACATTCCAATGAACATCATTAAGAGTTCTATAACTCACCTTACTTGCAACTAATTTACTTGTACAATAAATTAGTACTACATTTAGAGTAACTTGTTATTACCACATTGAACCTTTTAAATAGTAAATAACTAAAGAAAAGGTTTCCCATTACTTCTGACTATTCAAAAGGTCTCAATCTCATACCTCGGGATGTCTCATAGATATGCCTCTTGGCAATCACTTCGTAAGAAGATTTGCCAAATTGTTGCATGACCTTACATACACAATAGAAATTATTCCATTAGTTATCAAATACCTAACATAATCATGTCTTAGACTAATGTGTCTAGACTTACCATTGTAAATCTTTTTATAAGCTCTAGACAATGTAGCCTCACTATCACAAAAAGATAGAAATGGTTGTCATTTGTTGTGGCCTCAACTCTATATCTAACTGTAACATCCTGAACCTTTTACCGACGAAGATATTGTCCGCTTTGGGCCTCGGCCCTCACGGTTTTCGACTTGTGGTGCAATTCAAGGTGACTTCCCATAAGGTCACCCATCCTTGTAGTACTCCACACTGAGCACGTTTAACTTCAGAGTTCTCACAAGAACTTCTCCATTTTACCCCAAAACGCGTCTTGTCAGTTAAGGTCGGTTTCTTACTTATGAACCATGGATCTCTCCCGTGCTTTGTCGATGTGGGATTTGCCTAAGGTGTTACATACACCCCCCCTTGGGACTCAACGCCCTCGTTGAGGTTTGCCCCACCATCATTCAAGAGGGACGCGGAGAGGCTCTGATACCACTTGTAACATCCCGAACCTTTTCCCGACGAAGATATTGTCCGCTTTGGGCCTCGGCCCTCAAGGTTTTCGACTGGGGGTTCAATTCAAGGTGATTTCCCATAAGGTCACCCATCCTAGTAGTACTTCACAGTGAGCACGTTTAACTTTGGAGTTCTCCCAAGAACTTCTCCATTTCACCCCAAAACGCGTCTTGTCAGTTAAGGTCGGTTTCTTACTTATGAACCATGGATCTCTCCCGTGCTTTGTCGATGTGGGATTTGCCTAAAGTGTCACATAGGCTAACAGTTCTTCAATCTAATCCTGCACGAGGGTTTATCCCGAGGAGTGCAATTATACGACTCTTGGTTATGTTGAGCCAATTGCGGCCAGGTCAAGAACATGTCTAAGTAATGAATTATGATTAAGCAAGATGAGATATGGATCATGTATAAGGATACCATATATGAGTATTTTGGTCTCATGGTCAATTACATAGTAATTAGGGCTCCCCATGCTATTACTCCGTTATGATATGTTATGTCACACCCCTGATGTGGTGTTGACCGTTGATTCATCATGAGATATGACCACACCCAGAGTGGTGTTGAGTCCGATACAACCACACCCAGAGTGGTGTCAAGTCCGATATGACTACACCGGCAGTGGTGGGTCCGATATGACCATATCCACGAGATGTTTGGTCCGTATTCCCGGGAGAGTAATTAGCATGGGAATAGCCAGCCGCCTATGATTAAAACATGATAAGATGCATATGCATAAGTCAAGCTGGTTGAGTCTTTTGCCTATTGGGATGTCGGATGGCTGAGGTCCGATCCTAGTGCTTTGGCTTGTTTGCTAGATGTATGGTAGGGGGTATGCTCTGTTATGAACTCACAATGCTATGATTATCTCACTCAGCTATGAGCTGACCCTCTTTATCCTTTTTTCTCTACTTATGCCATGTGTAAGCATATCATCATCATCAGCAGTAAATAGGAATTAAGGTGGGAGCTGAGCAAGAGTTGAAAGCAAGACGAGGTATGGTCTTCAACCATTCTGTGCTTGGACTACTACTCGGGATTTTGGCCAGTGATCCATACCTTTTTGTAAAAATGTTTTGAGAATATTTTCATGTGCATACTAGCTTTTGATGTAGTGTGAGATATCCACACGTGTGGAAAGTTGATTAGATGTGTATATGTGTGTGGTGGTGTATGTAGTGATGATTATGACATGTATAAGTATGGTATGTAGTTGCAGAGTACGAAAGTGTGACTATAGCTATGAAAGCCAATGTACATGGTTGTGAGTATATATGTATGTCTACGAATGCAGGGATTCGGATGAATTATTTTGCAGGTCTAGTTGCAAGAACTGTTAGCCCATTACGCGAGTAATTCATGCCGAAATTTTATTTGGGTAAATTTTGGTAATTAATGTAACACCAGTTTTAAATTCCGTTCCAATTGTGTGAACAATATGATTAGGCAAAATGTACAGGGTAGGGTGTTAGACTAACAACATATTTCTTAGTCATTCTGCCACTTTTCCAACAACCGCAAGGGTTAGGGACTCAGCTTCCATTGTGGAGTGAGTAATACATGTTTGTTTCTTGGAAGCCCAAGAAACAACCTCGCCACCTATTGTGAAAATCCACCCTGTTGTAGATTTATTATCATAAGAGCTCGTGATCCAACTAGCATAAAAAAGGCTTCTAGTACAGCGGGGA